TATGAGTATTTAACTAAGTCTTTAAATGGCGACTATACTTAAACTTATTACTTTCGCATAATCGAGCTACCCTCGCGGGATGATTACTCTGGCTTAAGTGTATATGTCATAGTGCAAAGTTTAAAGTTATTTGTTATTCACGAATTTTTAAGAATTTCCGAATGAATATAGCCCATATTAAATCACTTTTTTTGCATTTATCTACATAAACAATACGGGAAACCGAAAAAATGCCACTACATACTAAGACAAATGTAAAACATTGCAATATTGGGTAGGTAAACGAATGTTCAGCACTGTCACATCTGTAAGCATGTAGAGGCATGAAATAGCCAAATCCAAGAATGCTGCATTAAGATGCCAAAATTAGCTTAGAAGAGACAGGTAGAATTTGGGCTGGTTAGCATCCTTGGTTTAATTTGATGAATATGAATTGGAACTTAGCCAATCTAAGTCGCATAATGCGATTTATTTATGAATGAATAATCTTGTATCTGTTGCGACCAAAGCTGAACGTAGCAGGAGCAAAAGATTAGCTATTTGCAGCACACGGCCGTAAGTTCGTTTCGAAAGTTGTTTGAAGGCGCAGGAGACAATAAATTGAGGATAGAAAATGACGGCAGAGGACAAGCCTGCTTCAAAAACTAGAAGCTTGTTTGCGACATACCATATTGGTGTTCATATCTAAGATAGGGGCTTCTATATGTATGCAGTCTGTGGCTCGTTGAGATAGATAACTGATAAAAAAGAAAGGCGTCTGTATAATGTAAACACAAGCTAGTAGGGCTAAGAAGTATTCCACCCAACAAGATAGTCTACCAAAAAGTGGCATGTATCATAAAACTGCGAGAAGGGAGATGAAATAATACGAGCAGTTTACGTGCCAATTTGGGTAGCAAGGGAATCGGAGCGAGTACTTAAAAGCGGTGTCAAAGTTATCTAGAGGCGTGAATTATAAGACTGCACATTTAACGATGACAATGTGTGCACGGCTCGGGTAGCATTTGGGCCCCATAAAATGGAAACATAGATATGTGAATAGTAGGACGACAGTGCGCAAACCCAAAATATCACTTTAAACCGAGAAATCATGGGATAAATTGAAATGTAAGTTTTTTGTTCAGCCATGGGTTGCGTGATTCTGGTTGAAATGTGGACGAAGCTGAAAAGGCATAGGTGTCGAAGTTCTTTGTAATTGAGTAAAATTATCTATATTTATTAGTTTGCCCTAAAGGTTATATTAGGACTTAACGCTTGTAGCATAAATGGAACCTATTGTTAACTGAAAAGTAGCGATTAAGCGCCAGGAAGTAATAACGTATAAAGTAAACACCAAAGGTAATAAAAATAGATTAAGAGTTGGCTACTTATGATGAACATTAGATAATTGAGGACTATCTTCACTTCTTTGGTACTTACACTGAGCCCTTTTTCAGTCTTCCAACCCAGCTCTCTTTCGGCTTTGGTGGGATCAGCATACACTGTTTCAATATCTCCAGCCCGACGTGGACAAATTTTGTAGGGTACTTTTATGCCAGATGCAACTTCGATGCCCTTTATGACGTCCAAAACAGAGTAGCCTTTTCCTGAGCCGAGGTTGTAAATCTAATAAGATAGTTAAAGTAAAATTTAAGAAAAAGAAAATCAAATTTAGCTACAAGTTAAAGCGCAATGGATTGCGAAAATTTAAGAGGCAAAATGTTCTGGGAAATAGTTAGCTAAGAATTCAAGAAATTCATTTTTATGTTCGGAACTTTTGTCTTTGGAAATTAGCTGGTAAAATATCACGCTTGTGTTATTAACATAGAAAATCGATTGAATATCAGATGAGGTAAAATATAAAATAAAGACAGTACTGATCCATTTAGTGTATCGAGTAAAATAAAACTAAACCCTTCATTCAAATTTAAATGTTAAAACATAAAATATTGTCTTTAGGTCTAAATCCAAATTTGAAACGTGATTTTATGAGCAAATTTTAATTAAAAAATAACAAGGTGTAAGAATAAGTTCAACATAATGGATATGCAGGTCTGTGGTGTTGATCATTTAAAAGGGTGTAATAAATGTCAGATTACACAAAACTTAATAATAATAAGAGACCAAGTGAGAAATAAGGGCTTAAAATAGAAAGAAATATTACGAAACCATTCTTACTTCATAGATACCGGGAGAATTCAACTTCTCGATAGCCATTACATGGCCAAGTGCCAAATCCTGGACGTGAATATAATCTCGAATTCCTGTGTATGATAAAGTAAAAGAAGAAGGAATATATCACTGGCACTGACAAGAAGCCTAATGCTGTTTGATCAGCTGCCCTGCTTAAACTAAGCAGGGCTAAAAAAAGTTAAAATTTAAAAGGAATTATAAAAAGGTGCCATAAATAATAGATCATTTAACCATATATAAAAACAAAATCCTGAGCTTATAGTAATAAAAATCTAAGATATGAATTTAAATGATGGTCTCAGAGCAAAATATTCATTGACCGGTCGAGGACATTAATTGATGTGCTGAATGTATCGGACTGTCATTTTCATAAAGATAACATTGAGTAGTCATACTTTGACTCCAATTACCTAAGGACCCTCTCAATAAAATACACTTCGCCTATAACTTAATAATGAGGGCTGCCAATTGGCTTAATATAGTGGTAATAAAAAATTACAAGAAAAATGAAATAAATTAATCATC